GGGCACCTGAAGATACCTGTGGGGCTAGAGCTGGCATGTGTAGACCCAAGCCTGCAGATTGGCCAAGAGGGCCCTGAACGTATCTGAGTACCTAACCATCATTCATCTCTTAGTGGGCATGGAAATGCTCTATGTGTGAACAAAACATGAGCTATTTCTGGACCTCATTGAGCTCCATCTTTCCACCTCTGTGTTTCTGGACCACACACAGACTGTCAGAGTGACCCGACCATGTGCCTGTGGGAGCAGGGACCGAGATCTTGGTAGCAGGTAGTTTTCCCATAGTGCACTCTGGGAATGCAGAACTGGTGCCCCACCAAAGAACTTCAGGAAAAGGAGCCCCAGACTTCTACCCCACCTGGCAGGTGTGAAACCCCCCTCTCCTCCACGCATGGTGTTAGTGGCCAGCATAAATGTCACAACGATTTTGCAGTGATGAAAGGGGACTGAAGACATGCTCAGTGGCTGAGAGCACAGGCTGCGCTTACAAAGGACCTGGGCTCAGTTCTCAGCATCCACATGGCGGCTCACAACCATCCATAACTCCAGTTCCAGGGCATTTGATTCCCTCTTCTGATCCCCGTGGGCACATGCAGGGCACTTACATACATGTTGGCAAAACACTCATACACGTGAAAGAAAAATAAATCTTTTTTAAAAGTGCCTGAAGAAAAGAATAATCAAGCCAGAGTTCCACATGTAGAAAAAAAATCTTCAGAGGTAAGGGGAAATTCTAGACATTGTCAAATGAGGGAAATTAGAGAATGTGCTGCCAGCAAATCTGCCCAACAGGGTGGCTAGAGGGCTCAGTGGTCATGCCACTGGGTCTGGGTGGCAATCTAGACAGGCTCTAGTGACATCACCAAGGGAGAAGGAGTTCGTGGGAAGCCACCCACGCTGTGCTTTGTCCTGAGCCATAAGCACATGGAATCTTTGTTCTCCTGACTCATCGTTTAGCTTCAGCTACGGTTTGTGTTAGGGTAACCTTCTGGGCTCCGTGCCTTTGGCTGTTGGAGAGAAGTAGGAAGATTTTGGGGCAGTTCTGGGACCCTTTCAAGCTAAAGGCAGAAGAACTCCCTTGAAGCTGTGTTAGCTTCAGACCCATGGGAAACAGAAATGGACATTGGACAGAGAGCATGGATGACTGTAAAGCCAGAGTCCAGTCGAGGCACAGAATGCCAATAGATGGCCCGAGAAATCCACTGACTCAGCAGTACAGTCAGCGATGCAGGCTTCTGGGAAGGGAGGCTCAGTGACAATGAGGCGTGACCTCTAATAACTCCAATTTCCACTGGACTTTGACAAGGAGGGAAAAGACCCAAAAAACCACCTGCCTCCACCAACTCCTTCCATTAAACAGGAGCAGGTACCACAGAGAGAACACAGGAAATTAAACGGATGTCTTAGAGCTGGTCTTCCTCCCATATGGCCCAGCTGTATCACTCCTGGTTATTCATCCGCAGGACTCTGGGTCAGCACACCCCAGAGATGCTCGTACATCGGTGTTTACCGCAGCTGGATTCCCAACAGCTGAGTTACAGGAGCAGCCTAAGGGCTCAACAGCGGAGGAATGGTTAAAGAATATATGAGATTTTCTTCTCAGACACACACACACACACACACACACACACACACACACACACACACGCCCCTGACAGCACAACACAAATTTCCTCCAAAAAGAGAATGTGCACTGTGGTGTGGCCCTGGGTCTGACCATGGTGGGATTTGGATCAAAGTATGCTAAAAAGCCTTTTTACCTTAAGATCTCCTGCAAAACACAACACGGGAACAATAGGCTTTCATCATACTATTTTGATGAGGTTTTCCGATAATAAAGTAAAATTGCAAATTATTTGTTCACAAGGTTTATGGTGTGAGGGACTGTGTGTGTGTTATAATGTGCATGTGAGTGTATGTGTATTTATTGTGTGTGTGCGTGTGTGTGCATGCACGTGAGCACGTGCGACTTTGTGGAGCTGATTCTCTTCTTTCGCCCTGACATTTCAACAAATGATACTGAAGTACTTGGACCTTCGTTGGAAAAAAAAGCCTCAACTATATCTCCTACCTTTTCCAAAAATGAACTCAAAGTGGATCATGATCTTGAATGTAAAAGTGAAACTCTAACCCTCGGGAGAAGACGAGGATGGAATCTGTGAACCTAGGGTTAGCCAAAGAGCCCTTAGACTCAACACCAAGAAAGGAATCCATAAAAAGAAACTTGTAAATTGGACAGAACCACTTCTGCCCGTGAAATCCCAGGGATAAATGAAAAGGCACCTTGCCACCTGGACAAGACGTTTGAAATCACCCATCCGGCACAGGGCCAGGCGCAGGACAAATAGGCAAAGGATGCTTCAGATTCAGTGATTAAAAACCAGCCCCACAATTAGCATATGGTTGAAAATGCTACCCAAAGTGGAGGCTTGGCTGGTACACTGACCTGCAGGAAAGGTTAAACCCCAGGGAAAGGAAAGTTAAAACCACAAAAAACTGGGGTTTGAGAGATGGTTAGGAGCACTGACTGCTCTTCCAGAGGACCTGCGTTCAAGTCCCAGCACCCTCATGGCAACTCAACAGCCATCTATAATGGGATCTGATGCCTCCTTCTGGCATGCAGGCATACATGCAGGCAGAGCATGCATACATTGAAAAAGTACATCAATAAAAATTTTAAAACCCCACAAAGAACAAAGAAGTCATTTCATTTTCAGGAAAACAGGTGGAGCTGAATCTTATCATGTTGAATGAAATAATAAAATGTCACATGTTCTCCGACATATACAGAATAGAAACAAAGCTATTACCAGAAAAGTGAAACTAGAAGGGAGGGGGATTATTTGGGAAGGAAATCAGTGGGAAGAGGAGGGAAACCAGAGAGTAATTGTGGGAGGGGATATGTTCAGAGTACATTACGCATGTATGAAAATGTCACAGAGAAACTCATTGTTTTGTACAAGTGATATATGCTAATGAAGACCATTACCAGGGCAGGATGGTCAAACAAGGAAGCTTCCAGTCCTGTCAAGGATGCGGGTGTCCAGCTTCAATGGCTGCTGGTGGGATGAAAGATAGGCACACCCTGGAAGTCAGTTTTCCAGTTGTTTTTAGAGCAAGCACATAACTTCCCAGAATTACACTCTTGGACATTTATCCCAGAGAAGTAGAAATCCACAGACAAAAATACAGTAACGTTTACAGTAGCATTGTGTGTAACAGCCCAAACCTGGAAAGAATACCAGATGTCCTTCTCTGGATGCCTGGTTAGATCATGGAGCCTCTGCATGGATCATGGACCAACAGTCAGCCACAGGAAGGAAGAAGCTTGCTGTGGGCATCTGCCTCCACTTCTAGAGAGCTAGTCTCCCAAAGGGCCCGTGCTCACACAGCACCCTTGCAGTAGTACAGAGTGTGGACCTGTGGGTGCCTGGAGGGTTGAGGGTATGGGAAAGGCTTTGTCTACAAAGGACAGCTCAGGGGTCCTGGTGCCATGGGTACCCTGCATCTAATGCTCCCGTGTCAGGTATCTGCTATTACTGTTGAGGGACCCCTCTCCTTATTTCCCCTCCTTCTCTCACGACTCCGCAGCTGTGTGCACTCTGTCCTTACCTCAGATGTTTAGCTGAACAAGGATATGCAGAGATGAGTTTGTGACACACTATAGACTCCGCCCCTTTGTCTAAATATTCTGGGCCAGGAACCAAACTTGTCCTACTTTGGTTGCCAAATTCTCCCCAGCCCCCTTCACAAGGGACTTTCCTGGTGTGAAGGCAGTCTGGAATTCTTCAGCCCTAAACCTCTCCTGGTTCTGTTCCACGGCTTCCACGTAAACCACTCAGGAGCCTGTCAGAAATGGAGGCCTGAGTTCCGCCAGCCCTCTGAGCCAGGTGGAATGTGGATTTCAGTGCTCTGGGTGGCTCTGCTGGCAAGGTACCCAGTGGTTGAGAACCATGTCCCCTTTGGTCCTGATTGGTACAAGAATCAGATATGGTCTGTCCAAGGTCACCAGCTGCTAAGTGGCAGGGCTGGGACTCGCACAGGTCACTTGGGGACCGTGAGATATTGTTTACCTCAAATATTGACTTGCCAATCTTCCTGTCACAAGCCCTTGCTAAGAGGTGGGAGGTGAGAGAGGGGGTTGGCATTCACCAGAAGTTCTCTTTTCTTTTTCAGTCACAACAGAAGACCCTGTCCTCACCTAACGCACCCTGCTGCCCCACAGGAGAGGTGGGTGCTGAACGCTCCTTTAGCTTTCTGACTTGGGCTTTCATTCATTCTGCATGACTTCCTTTTCTCCCCCCTGTGAGTGCTACCTCCCTGTGGCTCCTCCTCAAACTGTCAGGAGCACTACAGACATGGCAGTTGAGGTCCCCACGAGATGGTGACATGCCCTTACCTTCTACCATTCCTGGGTGTATCCTGGGTATGATTACTGTCTAAGCTGGGTCCTGGGTGTGCCCCAGATGTGTCCGTGATGTTTCAAGTCTGTCTCAGGTATGCCCACCTGAATCCAGCTGTGTCCTAGGTGCATCCCCGGCTCATGTCCCATGAGTCTTCTGGCTTGACAGGGGACTCAACGTGAAGGTCGTTGGCTCTCCCGTGCCCTGTCTTTGTCCTCTAACCATCTTGTGGCAGTTCTTCAAGAAGACTGGTTGATCACACCATCAAGTGTCCGTGATCGTATTCATAGATAAGGAAACTGGTCACTGTGGGCTTCCCCCACACCCACCCCCATTCCTGTTACCAGGAGGCTTCTGACCAGCTACTCTCTTGAAGATAAAAAGGAAACACAGTGTGGCAAACAGCCATTTTTACAAATGCTGCTGCTGGGACTGTCTGCCCTCTACTGCAGACCCACATCCCAGTAGGACACAGACAGGTCCTGTGCACCTTCCGAGGCCTGGGAAAGACAGAACTGCTCCCCAGGGGCTCCCAGGAGCCTGCGGTGTGCCCTTCCCTTGGGAGCACGAAGGCAGCGCGGGGGGGGGGGGGGGGGGGGGGGGGGGAGCCTGGCTGAGCTCTAATCCGATTAGGAGCAGCTTAGGGGATTGTCTTTTTCTGGCACCTGTTTTGTCACCCCTAAGGTGTCCTTGGTGACCCCAGGACTGGGATTTAGCTAGATGCTTGTTAGCCCTGGTCTCCCTGGGCTTCTCAGTGGCTCCCTAAGCATCCTGGCCACAGCTACATGCCTCTCTTGTCCCACAAGGGCAGGAACAGGCCATAGGCCAAGGGCATAGGGTCGGGCCTGCTTTAGATGCAGGTACCTTGGGCTGCACTTCAGCTTATGGGTCCTAACACTTGAGGTGGACACAAGACGTCATCAGGATGGATTTCGGGTCCTTGGAGACTGTCGTGGCCAACTCTGCCTTCATCGCTGCCCGTGGCAGCTTTGACGGAAGCAGCACCCCATCTTCCCGGGACAAGAAGTATCTGGCCAAGCTCCGGTTGCCCCCACTGTCCAAGTGCGAGAGTCTCCGTGACAGCCTCAGCCTGGAGTTTGAGAGCCTGTGCTCAGAGCAACCCATTGGCAAGAGACTGTTCCAGCAGTTCCTGAAGGCAGATGAGAGACACGTGCCAGCTCTGGAGCTCTGGAAGGACATTGAGGACTACGACACGGCCGATGGGGACCTGCGGCCTCAGAAGGCACAGGCCATCCTGGCTGAGTACTTGGACCCACAGGCCGCACACTTCTGCAGCTTTCTGGACCAGGGCATGGTGGCAAAGGTGAAGGAAGGGCCCACCGGGAGCCAGGATGGCCTCTTCCAGCCTCTGCTGCAGGCCACCCTGGATCACCTGAGCCAGGCCCCCTTCCAGGAGTACCTGGAAAGCCTGTACTTCCTGCGGTTCCTCCAGTGGAAATGGCTGGAAGCCCAGCCCATAGGTGAAGACTGGTTCTTGGACTTCAGGGTTCTGGGGAAAGGGGGCTTTGGGGAGGTGTCTGCCTGCCAAATGAAGGCGACCGGCAAGATGTACGCCTGCAAGAAGCTCAACAAGAAGCGGCTGAAGAAAAGGAAGGGCTACCAGGTAGGGAGCCCGGCAAGCAGAAGATGCTCTTGGGCCGGGGGGATGGGAGGATGTCGGCCACCCATCTGTGGAGGTCTACCTGGGCCTTAGCTACTGTGTGTGTATCCTGCCGTTTGGACACTCTCCCCCACCTCCAGCTCAGGCAGCCACTAGCAGGGCAGTTGTCCATCTGCCCCACACTGAGGAGCAGTTCCGGGGAGAGCCAGTTGCTGTCTGTGTAACTGGCTGTCTCGAATTTTCTTCAAAGTGAGGCTCCTGTTGCGATTGCATGCAGGAGAAAGCGAGGCAGGACTCTTGCCAGGGGAACATCACTTCGGCAGGCACTGTTGACACGAGGCAGAACCTTTCTGTGATGCTGGGGTGCAGGACTACTTTTTCCTGAACACAGGTTTCCAGGGGACAAGAATGGCTGGAGGACTTAGGCAGGCGGCTGGTATTTTAGTTCCTTCTTTGGTGGCGCCAGTGTCCAGTTAAGGCAGGATCAGTGAAAGCGGCTTATTGTCCAAGAAACACAGCCCCACTGTACAGGATAGATTATGCTGTGAAATTCTGAGGGACAGACACCGGCCCCCAGCAGGGCCCCGAGACTTCAGTGAGAGGTCAAACATTAGCTACAAACAGCAAGTGGGAGTGTACCAGACAAATCCAGGCACCTTTACCAGGGGCCGTGGGGACCGCACCTCATGGTGGTCTAACGTTAATCTTTAAAGAAGAGCTTTATGCTCAGGCATGGTGGCTCACGCCTTTAATCCCAGCACTCAGGAGGCAGAGGTAGGCGGAGCTCGGTGGGTTCAATGGTCTCCATGGAGAGTTCCAGGAGAGCCAGGACTACACAGTGAGACCATGTCTCTTTGAGTTCTGGGTCACCCACATCTCCATGCAACCCAGTACAACGTCGAAACTTTTCTGGCTTCAGTGTCCCAATGGGACATACGCAGAATGAACTGGCCCCACCCACCGTCCTCATCCCTTTCACACTTGCGATGTTTAGATGAACAATAAAGCAGGGTCTGCCGGAAACTTGGGCTGCACTGGGAGTTAGCAAGGATACAAGCGAGGACCGGATGGAGGTGGAGTAAGCAAGGCACAGAGAGAGGGTGGGTGGGGCAGTGATGGACTTGTCCTGGTGGACGCCATGGCTGTACCCCTGATTGAGTGAATGCATGCTAGATCCTGCCCATCGCAAGCCTGGCCTGTGCTGTGCCCAGCGCGCAGGCTGCTTTCCACAGTGCCTTCCTGAGGACTGAGGGGGTGGACACCACAGCCATACCCCTGATTGAGTGAATACATGCTAGACTCCACCCACCACAAGCCTGCCCTGTGCTGTGCCCAGCTGCTTTCCACAGTGCCTTCCTGAGGTCTGAGGACCACAACTCTGCTTCTAGGGTGCCATCGTTGAGAAGCGGATCCTGACCAAGGTGCACAGTAGGTTCATTGTGTCTCTGGCCTACGCGTTCGAGACCAAGACTGACCTCTGTCTGGTGATGACCATCATGAATGGAGGTGACATAAGGTAATGGGGTTTGTTTCAACTAGGGCACCCGGTTCATGTCCAGTTGGGCCCAGGACTTAGGCTGTATCTGTCATTGCACATTCTTGAGTATCCCCACAATTGTTGGGGACAGGTGACAGAGGGTGTGTGGTGCTGTGAATGGCTGTGGTGGGGATACCGTGGGTTGAGAAGGCTAAGAGAGTAAAATGAACAGTTCCATCAGTAGGGACAGAGAGCTGGAAGACCAGCTAGAGCCAACTCGCCTATGGCCTACGTAGGCGAGTACCACCCCTGACGATGCTCTGAGGTAGTTCCTGCATCCTTGGGGAGGTCAGGTCACGGCTTTCATGGGCCTGGTGACTTCACCACTCTTTCCCTCAGTTTCCTGTTCTGTAAAAAAGAGACAAATAATAATGACCAAGTCAGTGTCAGGAGGATGGAGCAGTAGGACCTTAGGGTAACTGGCACACAAGGTTAACATGACGAGATTCTTGGGTACCTGGTGCAGGAGGCTAACACGGTGAGACCCTGGGGTGCCTTGGGAATGCCAGGTGTCATTAACGGGAGCTATGACTTCCAAATACCTGTGCCCTTCCCTTCCTCTCCTCTGCTTTATTGACATCACCGTTGACAGAGTCATCTGCCTTTCCTTCAGATGAGTAATACAGGGGCTAGACAGCCAGTCTTCAAGAATCCCGTAGAAAGGGAAGAGAGTTTCAAGGAGTGATTGAAGATTCTAGCATGGCAGGCTGTTCTATCCTCCACCCCCAGGGGCCTCTGCTTATCTTCCAGGCCCCTGGTCTGCCCCCACCCTCCCTGCAGCTTAGGTCATTCACTTCTTCTAGCTGTGAGCTTTGCTTCCCTGTGAGGTGTTGAGGTGGGACATGCAAAAAAGAATGCTAAAAAGGACAGACTTCAGGGGCCTGCAACCAAAGTGGCTGTGAAGGAGGGGCTGTTGTCAAATCCACCCAAGGGTTTGAGATGTGGTGGAGTAGATCATGGGTGTACTTAAGGAGCTGGGAGCCGCTTGTGTTTTAAGAAAGTGAGGCTGACTCCCCTCCCCTGGCCCTGTCCTGGCATTGCTCTGGGGTCTGAAGGAAGGAGGTGTTTGTTAAGTAACAAGCTTGAATGGCCTCTAACAGTCATGGGTAAGGTGTGAGCTCTCTGAAGCCTCTAGCCCTGGTTTCTCCAGGAGAACACGGATGCTTGGTTCCAAGATGACCATGCTATGTTGACACGCATGTGTCCTAAGACCCAGGCTGTCTCTGCATTTACTGCCCTTAAGTCCTGGGGTGTGTGTACCTCCCGTGGTGTTCGGCCCGCAGGTACCACATCTACAATGTGGATGAGGAGAACCCTGGCTTCCCAGAGCCCCGCGCGATCTACTACACAGCGCAGATCATCAGTGGCCTGGAGCACCTGCATCAGAGACGCATCGTCTACCGCGACCTCAAGCCGGAGAACGTGCTGCTGGACAATGACGGTGAGCCCTGGAGGGACGGAGGCCACAGCGGCGCATGCGGCCCACAGCATGGTGTCATCAGCATTCTTGAACGTCACTGCAGAGGGGCCCAGTGGGTGTTAGGGTATAAAGGACCATGGTGTAAACTGTGCGGTGTGTGTGTGTGTGTGAGTGAGTGTGTGTGTGTCTTTCTGTATATGTGTGTGTGGCAGGGGTTACACGTTTGTGTGTAAGGTATGTGTGGTATGCCTACTACGTGTATGATATGTCTTTGTGGGCAGTGGATGTATGTGTCTAGAGTGTGGTATGTGTGTACATAGAACATGTGGAGTGTGTTTTTCTACTGTGCAGGGGAGCATTGCCGAGCCCAGGACTCACCTGGCACCTCTCTTCTGTGAAACGTATGTAACCTCAGCTTGTGTTTACTTTCAGGCAATGTCCGAATTTCTGACCTTGGATTGGCTGTGGAGCTGAATGAAGGGCAGGATAAGACCAAGGGCTATGCAGGGACCCCAGGTAAGACCTGGGTATTGGGAGAGGGGCCTGGAGAGGCTTTGCATCCAGGAAGAGGCCTGGGTCATCCTGTCTTCCAGAGCCAGCGGCAGCAGGGTCCCCAAGATCTAAGGTGATAATACAGAGAGTGGGGGTTGTGGAGTGTGGCTCCCTTATCCCCTAGAGCAAACAGTGGCAATCAGGTTTCGCCCAGCAGCTCAAGAACTGTTTGTTCCCTGCCATGATAACCCCTACCCTGCTTTAGCAGTCTCGCTGGCTTACTGCCTCACCCTCTGGGCAAAGCTGCCCCTTTGGTACCTTGATGGGCAGAGAGAATGCAAGACTTGCACACTAAGTGGTTTCTGAGCGTTGACAGAATGAGTTTGTCCAGGGTGTCTCATGGAAGAGCTGGAGCCCTGGGGTCACCGTGTGGGTCATGTCACAGAGCACTGGGGACAGGAATTTTCCTCAGGTAGCACTTACTAAGCAGCAGTAAAACCCTGGTAGGTATCCACCAAAGTGCAGGGTATGCACATGTGTGTCTTTGTGTGTGCACATGCATACCTGTGTGTACACACATTCCCACATGTATGCTTGCTCTCATGTGGTGTATACAGTTGTATATCTTGTAGGTGTGACTGAGTGTGAACATGGATGCCTTTATGTCTAAGTACATGTATGAATGAGCATAAACCTGTACATGCATGTGCACCTGTGGACATCTGTGCATCTGTTTGTACATGTATGTAGGCACACAACTCCCTTTGTCTCTGTGTACATATATGCAAATATGTATGAGTGTGCATCTTTACAAATGTGTCTTTGTGCTTATACATGTCTGTGAACCTCTGTATATGTATAATTTCATGCATAAATCTGTGAACATATGAGTGTATTATTCATGTGTGAATGTGTACAGGCATCTCTGTGTGGATGATCAGTACCTGTATCTGTGCATATATGGGTGTGCATCTCTGGATACACTTGCACGTATATGTATGATTATGGATGTATCTGTGTTTAAGTGTGTACACACTTGTGGCCATTTGTGGTTTTCTTCCTTCATCATTTCCTTCAGAGGAAAGGAGAGAGGCAGCCTGTGTAGAGGAGAGAAGAGACGTGAGTCAGGTGGAGTGGATGCATGATCCAGGACCATGCTTAGTGGCTAGATGAACTTAGATGGTGTGCTTAATCTGTCAGGGCCCTGGTTCTAACACTGAACACATAGGCTCATGAGTCTGTTAAGTGACTATACACCCAGCGCTTGCATGAAGTAGACATACCTACATGTAAGTCCTTCCTGTCTCCACATTCTACATGGTCATATTCAAGTTGATGTCTGACAGAATTTCTTAGATATTTTCCTTCTTCCCTGGGCTCTCTAGCTTCAGACAGTATCTATATTGGGATGTAGATAGAGTGGAGATAGGATCTTGCTTTGAGTTACAGAAATGTCCTTCTTTCACCAGGACCCTATGCCTCTGGTACCATTTGAGACTGTCTCTGATGCCATGGTGGGTAAAGGGACAAGAGCTCCCCCTACATTCTGGGGTAGGACAATCCATACTGGTCCCCAGGAGACATGGTGATGGTCTAGCCTGGGTCTCGGTGGCTGGTGGGTGCTGAGATCCATACTGGTCCCCAGGAGGCATGGTGACGGTCTAGTCTGGGTCTCGGTTGCTGAGGGCCCAGGAACCCCGTGAAATGCACAGGGTGATAGAGATCTGAGAAAGGATTCTGGAAAGCGTGTCTTGGAACCATCGCATGGCTGTGTGAAGACATGGCTGCACCTGCTTTCATGGACTAGGTCAAACTCCACTTGGATCTCTTTAGTCCACTGCAAGTACCAGATCCACTGAAGCAAGATGTGAGACCAGAAACTGGTCCTGCTCAGGACTGAGTATGAGGCCCGACTGGCCACGAGAGGGCACCATTGCCTGCCTAATCACCACCTCCCTGAGCTGGTACTGATTCTTCAGGTGGATCCAGTGGCATCTCTACACACATGGGAACCTTTGACTGGGACTCCAGTATAGGCTGGAAATGCCAAGTTAGGAGGCAAATTAGAAGCTGCTATTCCAAAAGTGCTAACCAATGAGCACCGTTCTAGACAGTTCTCCGTGCTCTGTGGGCACTCAGCTCAGGCTATGTAGGTTGAGCTTCCTCTGAATACAGGAAAGGTACGCCTCTGTCTTCCACTTCCTGCCACAAGGGGGCGAGTTCATTACAGGAGAAGCAGAAATCCTTTTGCTCCTTCATCCAGTATCTCATTGGTGCCGGCTCTACCGCAACAATGCTGTTTGCAAAAACCCAGACTCTGAAGACAAAGGGTGACACCATCAGGGTTTAGCCTGGCACCGCTGGGAGTGGCGCTGGGTGAATACTGGTGATGTCTTGGAGTGGAGAAGTACTGTGCATGGCTGCGGGAGGAACTGTCAACAGCACACCTTCCAGAAGGGCTAATCCTTGAGGGGCCCAGGAACAAGTCCAAAGATGGGCAGGAGGAGACGGTTTAGACAGTATGTTGTAGACTCTGAGCATTAGCATGTATGGTGTGTGGCGGGGGTTGACTTTTTGACATATATCCGAGTTGTGACCAGACAGCTAAGGGGGACTAGGAAGGGCATGTCTGTCTAGAAGGCCACATAGCAGCTGTGTGATCAGGCGCTGTTCTGTGAAGCCAGACTCGTGGCTCTGTTTCCTCTCGTCTGCGCCGTCCTCAGCAAGTTCCCTCCTCGTTATCAGACTGCTCCACACCTTGCTGAAGGCTGAATGGGATAGGTGTGTGCCCTGCTTTCGGCAGGGCTGCGAGAGAGCCCAGCTGTGGCTTCCCTGTAGGTGCTAAAAGAAGGTTCGTGCTGCCAGCGACAGAGTGTCTGAGGAAGGCATAGGACTGACCTCACCCGTGTTCCTCAGGCTTTGTCGGCAGCACCTGGGTCGCTGGCCCCCTCTGCATCATGGGGCACGGCTCTCACTTCCATGTCCTTGTAAGAGGAGAGGGGTCAGAAAGCCACAACAAGGTCTGTCTGCATCTGTCTACCCCACGAGTTATATGCCGTATGCTGTCCTGTTTGCATTGTCCTGAGTCTCCGTGGAGGGGAAAAGAGGCTTTCATATTACACACGAGGACTGAGATTCCTGACCCTGGCAATGGTGCCCCTAGGAAGCTTTGGCTATGTTGGGAAACATTTTTGGTTGTTACAACTGTGGGCATCCAGTGGGTAGAAGCCAGGGTTAAGTTCAGTTGTCCTTCAGTGACAACAAAGAGGTTTCTGTTCTCAAAATCACTGGTGGTGAGACCCCCTGGCAGGGGGCGGGGGTGAATCATGAAAGCTTCGGTTGTTCTGCGATTGCTGGGTAGGGATCATGCTGTGGGAAAACAGCTGCATCTGAGATCTATGTGTTCATGATGGCAGGTTTCATGGCCCCTGAACTCCTCCGTGGGGAAGAATATGACTTCTCTGTGGACTACTTTGCCCTGGGGGTCACATTGTACGAGATGATTGCAGCCAGAGGACCCTTCCGAGCCCGCGGAGAGAAGGTAGGTGCTGCCTGGCAGGAAGACCTGAAAGGGTCCCTTCTGGGGCAGACGTGGATGGGATGGGTGGGTTGAGGTGCAGGCTCTGGGGTCCTGCTTCCTGGGTGATGTTCTGTCCCAAGGCCTGCCTGTTCTTGAGACCTATAGGTGACGCTGTTGATGAATTCTAAATCTGCCTTTCACGCCAGAGGCAGCAGGTGGCAGAGCGAACATGCGCTAGTTAAGACTGGCCGGTTCTCCCTGGCAAGATAGCGGGCATTAGGCCCTTCTGGAGCAGACTACACAAAGGAGACCACTGGTGGGTCCTCAGCCAACTGTGGCCAGCAGGCCACTGCTCTTGGGACTTCGGAACAACACCCCAGGCACTCTTCCTGCTCCTGGTCTTTGTTTACACAGAGATTGGTCTGGGCCAGAAGCCTGGGACCATCTCCTATGTCTCAGCAGGGACGGGGTCCACCTGCTTGTCACTGTCTTGTCCTCGCCTGAGCTTATAGCTCTATGCTGTCATGTGATCCTGACCCCACCTGGAGAAGGGTCTCAGTCTCCTAAGCCTCCATGGTGACAGGCGACAGGCGTTAGGGCAAGCTGTGTGCTCTAGCTGGGTGCTCTGACAGCCCTGCTCATTCAGGTTTCACAGGCTACGCTGCTCTGTCCATACCTGTAGGAGAGAGGACGGGGTTGTCTGGGTTGTAAGCCACACCGTGTCTATCATACACTTGTGCGGGGGACGCTTTGTGTGGGAGACCAGGCGTGAAACAGCAGGAGGAAGGCAAGCTCTCGCCGTAGGTTTCTGTCAGAGGGCTGAGTGAGATCTCCCTCCGGCCACGCTCTCCAACCGCCACTCCTAGCGCTGGTCCTTTTCTGTGGCGGTGGGCTAGCTGTGTACACACGCAGATAAGGCGGATGGGAGCTTCGCCTTGGGACTCTGGTCTCTTTGTCCTGAGACTTGAGCCTTTCATTCCAAGCCACTGGGAGGGTCCCGCCAAAGCGCCATCAGCCGCCCCCACCACAGTGAGACTTGTAGCGTGGCCGTGGCTCCAGTGGAGTGGTCCGTTTGCCCACCCTGTAGGTGGAGAACAAGGAACTTAAGCAGCGCATCATCTCAGAGCCCGTGAAGTACCCAGACAAGTTCAGCCAGGCCAGCAAAGACTTCTGCGAGGCACTGCTGGAGAAGGACCCAGAGAAGCGCCTGGGCTTCCGGGATGGGACCTGTGATGCCCTGAGGGCAAACATCCTCTTCAAAGACATCAGCTGGAGGCAGCTTGAAGCCGGTACAGTTGGCACCATAAGCCTGGGAAGGCTTAGGGGGTGATGCTGTAGACCCTTGATGGCCTACCGTAGCCGTGGGGTCAGCCGTGGACTGAGCGGAGGACTTGTGGGACCCCAGCTAGCCTCTGACAGCTCATCTGGTTCCCCATTCCTCTCCAGTATCCCAGGACTGGGCACTGGGGTCAGGCAGGTTAAATTCAGGTGGGAAAAGTGGGAAGCAAGCCAGTGTTGAAGAAGTAGGTCTGCTTCATGGTATTTCCCTTCCATAGTCTGCATTCTAGAGATCCAAGGATTCAAGGGCAGCAGAGTTTGTCTGCCTGTGAGAAGTTCATTTATTCCACATTGTTTGTCATGATATTGCAGCCACAGACACTGTGTGTGCCATATGTGTACACATGTCTGGGTATTTGTGTATGTATAGCTGTTTGTGTGTGAACCCACGTGTGTGCACATATTCATGTGCCTCTGTGCATAGGTAGTTGCCTGTGCATGTCTATGTATATCTAATGTCTATGTGTGGTGTGGTGTATATGTTTTTTTTTGTGTGTGTATACCTCTGTGTGTGTGGTGTGGTGTATATGTTTTTTTGTGTGTACCCCTCTGTGTGTGTACCCCTGTGTGTGTGTGTATGCCCCTGTGTGTGTGTGTATACCCGTGTGTGTGTGTGTGTGTACCCCCTGTGTGTGTGTGTGTATACCCCTGTGTGTGTGGTGTGGTGTCTATGTTTTTTTGTGTGTACCCCTCTGTGTGTGTACCCCTGTGTGTGTGTGTGTGTGTGTGTGTGTGTGTATACCCCTGTGTGTATGGTGTGGTGTATATGTTTGGTGTATGTGTATACCCCTCTGTGTGTGTGTACCCCTCTGTGTGTGTGTGTACCCCTGTGTGTGTGGTGTGGTACATATGTTTTTTTGTGTGTACCCCTGTGTGTGTGGTGTGGTGTATATGTTTTTTTGTGTGTGTACTCCTCTGTGTGTGTACCCCTCTGTGTGTGTACCCCCCCTCCCTCTCTATGTATACCCCTGTGTGTGTGTGGTATGGTATGTATGTTTTTTTGTGTGTGTGCCCCTGTGTGTGTGTTTGTGTGTGCATTTTCAAGAGTGACTAAAGGCATATTGTTGCCCTATAGGAATTTATGAGAAAGGGAAGAGCCAGGTGGCATTTTCAACATAATTAGGATCAACTACAGGATGAGCTAGGATCCACAGAGAGGAGGAGAAGATTCTGAGAGATGTGACTTTTGTGTGGAAGAGCTAAGCAACTCACCCAACAAGGGGCTGTTCTTGGCAGGGCCTTCATGATGAGGCCCCGAGGAAAGGAAGGGTTCTGGATCAGGAGGTCTAGGACTGCCTCTGAGGTGCAAGGGAATGGCAGGCCCAGGAGGCTTGAGTCAGGCATGTTAGAGAAAGTCAGGTGAAAAGGTTACACTTGGGTGCCCGCAGACCGCCTGGACCAGCACGGGCCTGTTGGGAAGCTGGAGTTAGTGGCTTATGTTCAGCAGGGTTACAGGGTAGGGTCAAATGTTTAGAGGAAGCCAGGGCCGGTGACTAGGTGAGTGGCACCTGGGCTCTGTAAGAACAACAGCATTCTGCATCTGTAGCTTCTGGGGAGAGAGGATGCAGAGTTCAGTTTAACATCCATCACAGTGATGCCTACCTGGGGCCAGGCAGGAGCTCTGAGCCTGGGGCTGAAGAGAAGGTGCGGTTGCTATGTGAGGGACTGGAGTCCTGTTTTCAAGATGCTCGGCAAGGGGCTTCTGGGGAGAGGGCCTGGGGAAGGTATGGGGGGCAAGTGCTGGGATTTCTGTTAAAAGGCTTCCTAGGTGGCATAGTCGCTCTGGCACTGGGAAGGCTGAAGCAGGAGGATTGTGACTTCAGGCCATTCTACACACACACACACACACACACACACACACACACCTTTCTAACTAGATCTGGGCATATTCCACTCTGTTCATCATCCATTCTGTGAGCTCTGTCCACAAGGGATGGGGCTGCTTTGGGATGCTGGTTTTTTCTGCCAGCATTTAGGAAGAGTAGCAGATCTTTTGTGCCCTTTGGCCCAGCAGTGTCTTCACCACGGATATCTCTGATCTGTTTCATGTTTCTTCACAGGGATGCTGATCCCTCCGTTCATCCCAGACTCTAGGACTGTCTATGCCAAGAACATACAGGACGTGGGTGCCTTTTCCACAGTCAAGGGTGTGGTTTTTGATAAAACTGACACAGAGTTCTTCCAAGAATTTGCCTCTGGGAACTGCCCCATTCCCTGGCAGGAGGAGATGATTGAGACTGGTATTTTTGGGGACCTGAATGTGTGGCGCCCAGATGGTCAAATGCCAGATGACATGAAGGGAATCAACACGCAGGAGGCAGCCCCTACAGCCAAGTCGGGAATGTGTCTCATCTCCTAGCCAAGTGTCTGAGGAGAGCAGGGAGCTGCTTGTGTGCAGAGAGGAAACTGTACCGAGCTCATGGGAAAAATGCGACCCTGGTGTCAGCTCACGCTCACTCCACCCGGGTCACCATGCAACTGTGTCTCCTTGTGGAGCAAGCGAGACCTTCTGTCTATACCCTACAGACATGGCAGTCCACCTCTTTTGTCCTATTTCATCCAGAAGATAAAAAAAGGCCACCCCAGATTGAACAGCAAGGAACAACTTCTCAAAGAACCGCTGTGTATGTGTATGGCCAGGAGCTTGGATGCTTAGAACACATTCAGCATGGATCTCCTAGTACCTTGAGTTAACATTTCAGGGCAGGCCTGTTTGTTTCTGGTCAGTTCAGGGTTACAGGCACTCATGCACCCCAAAGAGGGCTGTACTCTGGGGTCCACCCTGAACCTCTCCTTGCCTGGTTCCTGCCTCCTCAGCTGCCTTTACTGGGTCACCACCTGCTCCACGAACCCCAGTTTGGAGCTAGTGAATCTTCAGGGAGTAGAAAGGCTAGAAGGACCTGGTCTTAGCTGAGAGTCATTGTTTTCTCTCAAGAATGGAGACAGCTACCTCAGACAGCTACGGTCTCTGTTCTCAGTCAACACCTCATGTGGTATATACTCAAATTGTCATAGTCATGTCACATGTGGTAGGGAGCCCAAGTCTTTACATGTTAATGTCATGTTTGATGTATGGCTGCGTCTTCACACAGTCATTACACCTGTAGTGGGTGTCGTGTTCCTGGGCCATCTTTGTGCCACCGCTCCCTCCTTGTTTATGAGGGAAGGTGACCTATATGTACCCGGTCATTTTGGAATATTGCTGGATGAAGCCAGCACTGGACGGCAACACTGGACCAGCATCCCCCCAGTTGTGTGAGGGTACAAGCATCTGTCAAGAGCATGTCACCAATAAAACCCAGGCCAGCTGCACTGTGGAGGATTCCAGATGTTGCTATAGATGTGCCTAGCACACACGATTTCCTGGGGACTAATGCTGGATGCTGAAGAAGTCTGTGCCAGGATTCTGCTCTTCTCGGAGAATCTGACACTGGAATTGTGGGGTGCTCTGGAAGGAGCTTGAGGCTGTCTGTGCCCATACCTTCTGGACCATGGTCTGGAGCCTCCTGGAACCCGGTAGTCCTGTGGCTGATTAGTGATAAAGGCAAATCCTCCAAAATTCCCCCTCACTCCATCCTGTAGAGCATCTCACATGTATCAAGGGCTGTGTGCATATTTTATTTCATTATGTTCTGGAGCTCATTTTAACATGCTCTTGGTTGAAGACCCCGGCAGTTTGGCTGTCTCATCCTCATCTTCACTGGGGTGGAGGAGTGGAAAAGGGTGGGTTTCCGCAGCCACAGCAGGTTCTGGGGAGGCCTAGTCCTTGTTATACTAACTATCATCCCTGTTTGGCCTGCCCAGGCTCATGGAGCTGATGGTAGAACCTGTGTGATGTCACAGGTTCCGTCCTAAGTCCTCCCTCTCCCTGGGCTACAGACAGAAGAGCAAGACATCCAGTCCAGTTTAAAATTCAGACAAATAGTGAACACTTTCCCAGGGTAAGTATGTCCCAGCAGTACTGGGGACATACTTATACTAAAACTTCATAGTTTGTCTGGAATTCATATTTAATTGGATGCTCTGTAGGTCTTTTTAAAAATCTAAATCTAGCCAGCCTATTACAGACCCATCAGCAAGCAGGGATGAAATTGGGAGCAATGCTGCTTTGCTTTTCTGGGTCTCTTGGTCAAGGGAGGCCTCTTCTCACTCTCATACGTAAGCTTGTGTGTCACTCAAAGAGACACATTCCAAGGCTTGGTTAGTGAGCACAGACACCCAGCAGCCATGTTCTTGGCTGTATACACAGGACACTGCTAGCTTCAGCAGAGGGGCAGTGCTGAGTGGAGAAGGATGAACTGCTTGCTCTGTGCTCTCTGGGTAGAGATTTTAGCCAACTCCTCTTTCTCGAGGGTTCTTTGACCAGTTTAAGGGACCTCCACCGTAGGTGTTCTCTCAGAGGCAGTAACTTTCAGCTTAGAGAGCTCCCCCATTCCCATGGTCCCTCCTTACCCCTAGAGCTTATAAACACCTAGGTCTGAGAGCTCAGGTCTTGCCTGGACACCGATCCTAGGGAGCTGCAAGTCACCCACTGTGGTTCTGACGGTTGCCAGGCCCCCTTGGCTCTAACCTCCCAGAAGACAGAAGAAACAGTTGTCTTCTGTTGTCCCAGAAGACAACAACATTACTAGTTGTAGGATGTCTTGGATGCTGATATGCAGGCCTGTGGTAGGGAAAGAACTTTTCCATCCTCAAGATGAGGAAATGTCCCTAGGACCGGAAGCCCACCTGGAAGCCCTGTGAGATATAGATTGTCTTATACCCAGGTCACCAACATGCTGAGAACTGCTTCACTTTTGGGCACTCAGAGATACACCACTGTGGGGACATTCATTCTGCAACGAACTCTAATAATTCTTCACTCTCAGGAGGTTAGAAGTAGAGGAGGCACCTTAGACAGAGAGGACTCTGGGAGTTGGAGGTCATCTAGAGAAGAGCAGGATCCCACCATGAACAGTAGGGCCATGTCAGTTTTTGCAATATTGTATTCAAACTGGGTTTGATTTTTATTCCTTTTTATGGACTTTATTGATAATTATAACAATAGTTATCATGGATGGTGACATTCTACAGCAGGCCCTGAAACTCTTCCCAAACCCAAAGTCATATCACAAGAGGTCTGGGAGGCTCAGTGCCCAAGTCTCTGGCTATGGTTTGATGAAGGTTTAGTGTGTGCCCAAAGCTCTGTGTTTTGGAAGTTGTACCTCTTGTGAGGTAATGTATGGGACCTTTAAGAGGTGGCGCATAGGAGCCGGTCTTTGAGGGAGTGCTTTGGAAAGGCTTGGCTATTTCTGTGGATTTCTGTCTGGGCTGTAAGGGCGTGGGTTCCACTGCAGATGTGAGTCTAACCTCTGAGCCCCACGGCCTCCTGTCTGTCTCCATTTTATTTTACAACTGTGTGTGCTCTCAGTGACTTCATTGTGCCGAGGTCAAAAAATGGGACCACTCATCTTGGCTTTCCAGCTTCCAAACTAGGTTAAATAAACCTCCTCACAAATTACCCTCTCTGTGGTATTTTGCTATAGCAATGGAAAGTGAACAAACTGTTAACTTTAGAGTTTTACATCCTTACAAAGTAGATTTTGGTGCTAGACAAGATGGTACACACACACACACACACACACATACACACACTGTGGTGGTTTGAATAGGGTTGGCCCCCACATGTGAATGGCCTCCATTCATATATTTGAATGCTTGTTCATTAGGGAGTGGAGTGGAGTTATTTGACAGGGATTAGGAGGTGTGGCCTTGTTGGTGTGATCTTTTTAGAGGAAGTGTGTTACTAGGGATGGGCTTTGAGGCTTCAAATGCTAAAGCCAGGCTCAGTGTCTCTCTTCCTGCTGCCTGTTGATCCAGATGTAGAAGTCTCAGCTCCTCCTCCAGCACCGTGTCTGCTGACATGTTGCCATGAAGATAATGTCCTAAACCTCTGAAACTGTAAGCAAGCTTCAATTAAATTATTTGCTTTATAAGAGTTGCCATGGTCTTAGTGTCTCTTCACAGCAATAGAACCCTGACTAAGACAGAAGTTGGTACCAGGGAGCTCGGTATTGCTGTGGTAGACCTGACCACACTGCTTGTTTGTGGAATGTGGACTTTGGGACTTTGGATTAGGAAAGTAGTTGAGTTGAATGCTTTTGAGGTTTAGTGAGCCAACCTGGTAGGGGCTTGGAAAACAGTGGTGCTGAGAACAATGTAGATTATGATGTACCGACTCAAGAGGGTTCAGAGCAGAAGAAGATTAGTAAGTGGCATAGAGCGTGCTCTTTGATATTGTAGTGAATAATGTAGTTGCTTTTTGCCCTGAAAAGTCTGCCTGAAGCTAAATATAAGAGTTTTGGATTAATGGCATTGGCAAAGAAGATGTTAAACAGCCTATTATTGACTATGACGTGTGGTTATCAGTGGCTACGCTTATGCAGATCTATCTATAATGAAAAAGAGCACACTGAGCAAGGAAAAATACAACATGTACAATTTGAGGAGAAAATTGGCACCAGGAAGTGTGATGGAGCTAAGTCTTGTGCTCAAGGAAATAAACAGATTTAAGAAAAGCCTGATGCTGAGTGGAATAAAGGGAGTGGTGCCCTCAGGGCAAGACCCCACCCAGATAAACTTCCAGCTTGTGAAAAGGAATTAAAGAAGTCTTAAGACAAAGGAAGTGATCAACAAGAGATGTAGTTGAATAAGGGGCCGTGTTCCAGACCCAGCAAACAGCAGAACTTTGCAGCTTCAGCCACATGGTTTAGAGTCAAGGACAGAAGAAAGAGGTTGTGGAAGCTCCCTCTGTGACTAAGGAATGCTGAGGAGGCCAGGTGTGCATCCACAGTGTCCCTGCATGGAGGCCCAGAGAGGCCATTGCCTGAAGTTGTAAAAGTGAAGCCTGGATGCCAGAGCCGTGGGATACCTGCCAAGAAAAGCTGCTAACAGGGAGTGGAACCAGCCCAAGAGAAAGAAGTGTGTCTCAGTCAACAAAACTGAAAGAAGTTGGAGATCTGAAGAGCCTATTGACATCAGACATAGAGATGCCAAGTTAGGAGTTTGCCCAGCTGATTTTTGGTCTTGTTTTGATCCAGTATTTCCTCGCTATGCTCCCTTCCCTATGTTTTGAAATGGTAATGTGTATCCTGTGCCATTGTTTGTTGGAAGTGTGTCATTTGTGGTTTGAGTTTTATTTTACAGGGGTGTATACTTAAGAGAATGCTGTGAGTCTCAGAAGAGACTTTGAACTTTGGACTTTTAAATAGGGTTGATTATGTGATAGACTATGGGGACTTTTGAAGTGGGACTGAATGAATTTTCTGTACTAAAATATAGCTACAAGCCTTTGGGGCCAAGGAGTGAAAAGTGGTGGTTTGAATAGCAATGACCACTATAGGTTCAAATATTTGAGTGCTTGGTCCTTAGGGAGTAGCACTACTTGAGAGAGATTAGGAGGTGTGGCCTTGTTGGAGTGGGTGTGGTCTTGTTAGAGGAAGTATGTTACTGGGGGTGGGCTTTGGGGTTTCAGAAGCTAAAGCTAGTCCCAGTATCTCTCTCTTCCTGTTGCCTGTGGATCTGGATGTAGAACTCTCAGCTAATTCTCCAGCACCACGTCTGCCTATGTGCTGCCATGCTATCTGCCATGATGATAACGGACTAAACCTCTGAAATTGTAAGCCAGCCCCAATTAAATGCTTTCCTTTATTAAAGTTGCCATGTCGTGGTGTCTCTTCACAGCAATAGAACACTGACTAAGACACGCACTTTTTGCACTTCTTCAGGTAAGTACAGCTAAACCCCTGGATGGTGTGAATGAGGAGTGTTGACAGGACATGGAGATGGGGAGATGTGGGCAAATGATGAAGTTTCTAAGGCCAGTTGGTGCTACTTCCTGCTCCTTGGCCCTGATGTGGCCCCTGGAACCTTCAGGTAGGCATCATGTTTGGTGGCCCTCCGATGTCATGTATCTGTACTTCTGTGTCTTTCCTTCAGCTCCCAGACTATGGACATACTTTCAAGGTAGAGATTAGAACAGAACTTGCTGCCAACCCAAGATAGGTGGGGGTGTGCAGAAGGATGGAGATATCCCCTGGAGCCCATGAAAGGGACTTTCAGGATGGGGTGTCCACACAGGCATGAGACAGGTGGAGAAAGATTTGCTGAACTCATCGCCAGGGTAACCACCCTGGGCTAATCTCCACTCTCCATTGGCAGTACTTACTAGTCGTGCCACAGAGCAGTGCCCAGACTATGCCCTGGTCCAGGGTGAATAGAGATGAAATCACAGTCATATGGCTGATTCTGTGGTACACGGATGACGTCAAAGTAACACATATATTCTTTAGGGTGTCAGGTGATGGTGAGTGATATGGAAGAAAGGAAGTAAGGAAGGAGATTTGTGGTGGGGGCAGAGGCCAAGACCAAATCTACCAGGTGGCCATGGTAGAAAGTCCACTTCTCAGGAAAGATCTGAGGGGCCTGTCAGCAAGTCTCTAACAGCTGGTAAGAGGAAGTCACAGTCAGGTTCCAGAAACATCTATGCTTTCCCATGACTGACTTAGTTGGTCTCGACACATGGAGTTTTTAAAGTCCCACTATGGTGCTTTGAATGAGAATGGCCCCATAGGTTCACATATTTGAATGCTTGGTTTCCTGTTGGAACTGTTTGAGAAGAATTAGAAGGTGTGGCTTTGTTGGAGGAGGTGAATCACTGGAGATGGACTTTGAGGTTTCAAAAGCCGACACCATTCCCAGCTATTTCTCCTTCTCTCCCACCTCATGTTTGTGGATCAGATGTAAGCTCCCAGCTACTCCTCCAGCACCATGTCTGCCTGCTTGATGTCATGCTTCACTCTGTGACAGTCATGGACTCTAATCTTCTGAACTGTGAGCCTCAAACTAAATCTTTTTTTTTATAAGTTACCTTGGTCATAGCATTTTGTTCTGGCACTAGGAGAGTCACCAAGACACCCATGAAGTGAGTCTAAGGTAGATTGTGGTTCAGAAAGGGCTGGATCAGAACTGGGTATCATACAACCAGATTGGAAACCCATCCCTCAGTGCATGCAAGTGAGCCAGATCTCCAAAGCCTCCAGAGGATGTTTCTCCATCAGCTTCCTTACTCTGGAAATCATCCATAAGGGAAAGGGGCTGGTGGCATGTCCCACAGAAAGCTGATGAGGGACACTTGGTATTTAGTGGCTGCCAATTTTCTTAACTGTGGTCCTGGCACTGAACTTACCTGTTCTTAGTTTGTCACAATCTGCATTTGGCTCAGACCAAACCCCCCCAAATGCACAAAAGCACCACATAGCTATTGCTGGTCCCTCCTCTGTGCCATCTTTTCCAATCATCCTACTCGTTAGGTTTCAAACCTGGGCCAAATGGCTGAGGTACCTAACTGCGGCGCGCTTCCTGACCAGCAGGAATGAACGGCCACGAAAACGAGATTCCTTCCCTATCACGTCTTTATTCGGAGCACTCGGTTGAGGAAAATTGGGGGAAGGGAAGAGAGAGAAAATACAGAGAAAGGGAGAGCAAGGAGAGAGGAAGAGAGAGCACAGGGACAAGAGAAAGATTAGAGAGAACTTAGAGAGAGAGCTTAGAGAGAGAGCGAAAAATCTAAAGACAGCCACTTTTCTAGGGTGAGAGGCTCGAATGCTGATTGGTTGATGCCATTCTGCTAGGGCCCAAGGCCACAGGACAGGTCAGGAAACCAAGTCTCTGAAATGCAAACAAGGCTCCAAGCACACTGGCATGTGCGGCAACATCAAAGGATTTGTATACCTCCAGGCTGTAGGACTGCTGGCACTATCTCGCCAAGGCGACATCCTGGCGGCTCCTTACAGCTCCTCCTTTCTATTGTTTTAAGAGCAATAAGGCAAAACTATTTCCCAATCTGGTCCCCACCTCATGATGTGTGGACCGATTAAAGAAAAGAAAAGCAAGATACACCCTCCGCCTATGCATACCTTCCTCTGTGCCGTGGGACTATCTGGTCCCTAGAGGGTGCAAAGGCTATGCATGGCTAATTGCCTATGGGCTCTTTAAGGCTGAGAGCCAAACTTGGGGTGAGGATACACATTCCAAGGCTGCCAAGGCCTGTGCCACAAAGACCTTGTCCCTCCTCACTTGGACTAGCAGGTGGCACACACAGAGACATACAGCACTTCCACCTAGACACAGCATGCCAGGAATATCTCTGCTCCCACCCAATCCTAAGGAAGGAAAAGGCAAAATAGAGTCAGTCAGAAAATTGTTAAGAGATAAGAGGTTGCACAGGGTGCTGCTCAAGGTGATAACGTGAAACAGCTGCTCTTGACACTGCCCAGAGGGTCATCTCTGCTGTCTCCGCATGAATCTTCCACAGCAGGACACTCAGCATCCACTGGGTCACCTTTCTTCTTTATTTCTCTTGTCAGTCTCGCTGGCATCCAAATGTATTTCAGCATTTCTAGAAAAACATAAACAAAACTCTCCTCCCAAATTAACATTTAAGAGTATTAAAAATCTCAG